GTGACAAAGAAGTGAAATTGTCATTTAATGCTACTAGATTATCAACCGGTCTTTGTTATAATTTACAGTATTGAAGTTTCAACTATGCAGATCATTTCAATCAATTATTTACCAGTATTTATTTATTTATTTATTTTTAAATTAGTTTTTCAGTTATCGATATGAATGAGAATGACACTAGGAAGTTTTTCCACTTACTATACATTCTTGAACTCGTGACTAAGTTTGTTGTTGTCATCATTGCAGACCAAAGTGGCCATCATCTTCACTTGTTTCCTCTGATGGATTAATTACAGCCATGGCTTATCGTCTGCCTCATGTAGTATGTATCATCTGTTATATTCAATTTTTCCCACTCTTATATGCTACTTGTGTTAAACATAGTAGGAAGGATTCATATTGATAATGCGTTGACATTTCAGGTTATCGGAGACAGATCGGGTAACATACGCTGGTGGGATGTTACCACTGGGCAATCATCCTCATTTAACACTCACAGAGAAGGTGTAAGGAGAATCAAGTTCTCGCCGGTTGTTCCAGGAGATCGTAGCCGTGGACGTATTGCAGTTTTATTTTATGACAACACATTCTCTGTTCTTGATCTTGTAAGCAAAACTAGGGACTAGTTGATTTTCTTGATTGGGCATGAATTATATGTAGTGCTGAAATGTTCATTTCCATGTTTATGAAATTATATAGATAAAAATGGATTAAAGTTTAGTCTTGCAAGTTTGTGTAGTATTATAGCTAATATAAGGGAAATCGTGCTAAGACAAGGATAGTTCATATTTCTTCTTTAATCAATTCTAATGCTGATTAAATGAACCTTTCCTCCATATTTTGTGTGATGAAGCTGTGTTATACACATGTATTTTTCTTCAACAAAATAATAGAAGTGAATAATCTAGAAAGGCTGCTTCACTAATTTTGGCCTTATACAAGGCTGGGATAATTTTCCATTCAGTTTCAATTTTAAAGAAGTGTTTCTGATTTGTAGGATTCATCAGATCCATTGGCCAATTCCCTCTTACAACCGCAATTTCCTGGAACGCTTGTGCTTGAACTTGACTGGTTGCCTTCACGAACAGATAAGAATGATCCATTGGTATTGTGCATTGCTGGAGCTGATAGTAGCTTTCGTCTCATTGAAGTTAATGCGTATGTCCCATAAATCCTTCAGATTTGCTGTCAGCAATCAATAATTTCTAGTGAACAAGGGGATTAAAGGAGCTTTTGTATTCTTTGGTTGACTTTTTTGATTCTAGAAAGTGTAGTTAATTTGTACGTCATGTTTGTTATATAGAGAAAAAACAAAGAACCTGTCCAAAACTTTTGATGATTGATCTTGCAATCTGCTATAATATTATACTTCTCATAAATTATAGAGATGAAAGATTTTGAACTAAGATTTTTGTAGTTCAAAATACTAAGTATGTCTCTATTTTTATTATATGCAGAAATGACCAGAAAATGGGCTTTCGTCTTCAAGCTCAATCAGTGAAGGAGAGGTTCCGACCGCTGCCTTTGTCCTCTCCAATATTGCTGCCTACACCACATGCGCTGGTAACTTCTAATCTATACATGATAGTATATTAGATGTATGCAGGTAGACACATTAAGCAAATTACATGCCTGGACGCCTGGTAACTAGACCATTATTTATTGTATTGTAAAATTTCGATGAAGTGGAAAATATCATATAAATGGTTGTGCTTTCATGCTCCCTCAGAACTATTAAATGAAGTATGACCATGCTAATGCTGCAAACATGAATTACCTAGAAGTTACGATTGATCAAGAATACTACTCTTTCATCTGCTCACTTCAGACGCTCCTTTGCTGCAGGCATTGCGGATGATTTTACAGTTAGGGGTGAAGCCCACGTGGTTCAATGCATTCAGTACAACCATGAACAAGACACATTCACATATTCCAGGAACTCCATCATCTGAAGATCTTCGCAGTTATATGCTTGATTCACCACGTGTTGGTGACTCTGTAGTTCCGGAGATGCTGCTTAAAGTATTAGAGCCTTACCGTAAAGAAGGTTAGCATCCTTTGTAGAACAATATTAAAAATACTTATTTGATCATTTGATGAATTTTGTTACCCTTCACGTGTTTGTTTTGAAGGCTGCCTCCTTGATGACCAGAGAGTGAGACTCTATGCTAGTCTTGTCAACAAAGGTTTTGCAGCAAGGTTAGCATTTGCAGCTGCAGTTTTTGGTGAATCCACAGAAGCACTTTTCTGGCTTCAATTACCTCAGGCTCTTAACCACTTGATGATTAAATTGGTTAACAAGTCACAGAAAGGCCCACATGCTGCTGCAATTGCTGAGATTGACGAGGCATCCATGTTGAGTAGAATCTCTTCGAAAGGAAAATCAGTGCCTGGAGAGAAAAAGAATCCATTGGTTAGTCTGATTATTGAAAATTTATAATAACTTTAATGTAATAATTTACTGTAACTTAGCAAATATGTAACTTTTTTGTTTGTACCAAGAAATGTTACGAGATGATGATTTCTGTATTTAATTATTTTTCATGATGGCTTTTTTCGTTGAAGGGTAATGGCCAACTTAGGTTAATGGCTTTTGAACAAGCGGAACTATGGGAGTCTGCTATGGAACGCATTCCTTGGCATGAAAAATTGGAGAGTGAAGAGGCAATTCAGAACCATATACATGAGTAAGTCTTTCTATAACTCCATATTTGTTTATTCCCCATTGCTTGCTTTGATTAATTTTTGGGCCAGTTCTAAGTAGATCTCACTCATGGTATATTTGTCCCTGGTTTTACAGTACTCTGATTACGTATATATGCTATTTCGAGGTGTTACCTCTATTGACCAAATTGAACTGTTTTGCTATCAACATTGGAGGTTGCTGATTCTATGATTGCACTCATGTCACGATCTAAAAATTATTATTTGTCAAAATGCTGGGTTACATAAGGACTAAAACTCATTCCTTTTCCTTTTTTTTT